GGAGGGGTGGGAGAACACTCACCATGGGAACAGGCCTTCCACTTGGCCTTTAAGAATTTGCACCATTCGCGCTGGGAGTATGATAACTATTTGCAGATCCCCTCGACCCACTCTTTGAAAGAAAGAACTGTGTTGGGGGACTCGGGCAACCGTTGCATAACAGTAGAACCGGGAAATGAGAAAGAAGAACAAAACCCAAAAGGTATTTTAACTACTCAAGAGGAGAGGAACTTACGTGTCAGGTTCCACTTTTCAGGGAACGGCATGAACTCGGGGACAATAAGATCCTCGGTCTTCACCCGAACGAATATCCCTTGCCAGCCTTGGTCCCTATCTTCATCAATGCTCGCGAATGGAGATTTCTTTGACCGTTGGGCAAGATTGATTAATCCCCCTCGGAAGATTCGGGGACTGTAGAGGCGATGTAGATGGTCAAGGGTAATCTGAGGCTCCTCTATGTTGTTTACGAAGTGATGGAGGAGAATCACGATCCTCCAAAAGGACGGGTGAATCTGCCCGAGGCAGACCTCATATCTTTTTGCAGAAGCCGAGGACTATCGTATCCACTAGGCCAAGCATGAAAGGGTACGTATAAATACTTAAGTACCCCTCCACATGCGTGGTGTTGTCCTCATCGGAGCCAAAGATGACCACATCCTTTTTCTCCCACTTGCAGTCCTCCCGAACCGTCGAGAGCGTGTCCTCTATGATTGAGCATATGTACCTCTACACCTCCTCACCTCGATCCCCTTGCTTGGAGGCATTTTCAACTTTAAAGTCGTTGTCTATAGAGCAGCTTCTGGGGATAAAATTCTTTAAAGGAGGTTACGGGGCCGCTTCAGGAAGGACCTCCTCGACATCCATGGTCGGGTTAGAAGTTGAAGGGGCAGTCTGTTGGGGCATAGATTTCGAAGTTTTAGCTACAGAATTCTGGGAATACGAATGTATGAAGGCGGGCATGAAGGTTTGAAGATGAGAATGAAGGTTTGAAGGTCAAACTTGAAGGTTCAAGGACAAAGTATGAAGATTTAAAGATGGGAAGATGAAGATATGAAGATGTAAAGAACAACGTATGAAAATTTGAAGGGATTAGGAGCAAGTAAAAGATTTGGGGGGTAACTTAAGAAGGTTTAAAATCGGAAAGTAAAAAAGTGAAAAAAGAACCAAAGCTTTTATAGGGTGGAGGTAATTAATGCGTGACGTTTCGCATTCGAGGATGGTCAACCGGCAACTGGCACATGTCCGAAGTCAGAACGACACGATTGATGAGACGTTTCACTGAGTGTCGACCCGGTTACAGCGTAAAGAGGAAGGAACGGGGTCAACTAATCACTTCTCGTCACTTCGATAAATCTGCTCTCCGAAAAGTGAGGAGACTATCTGTGTACGGGTAAGATCCTGAATAATGTTACCCCCAATTTCTCGGTAAAGAAAAGAGAGGGATGTATGATCTAACACACCCTCGAGTAAAGCCAAAGGGTTCTTCGTTTTGAAGCCCGGGGAGGACGAACGGTGCATCCGGGATCGGACACTACTGAACATCAAGTCCCAGCAGAGTGAAGGTTAGAGACTAAGGAAAATGAGAAACGGTTAAGCACGATAAGAGGGGAGATGTAATATCCGCCTTCAACCGGATGTTACGACGTAAATCCTGCCCGATATCAACTACGGAGCAATCTTTACTGGGAAAAGAAGATTTTTGCCTTGTTTAGACTTGTGCTAGGATTGAAAGTCCCCTACTATATAAAGGGGAGAGCTTTTTCATTTTAAAACCACTGTTGACATGCATACCAAAGCAATAAAAGTTCACTTTGTTCTCTAGCTACTATTCATAGTGTTCTTCAGCTGCTTAATTTTTCTGTTACAACCAAGCCAGTCTTGAGGGCTCGACCGAGGTCGATTTTCAGTGTTCATCCAAAAGTCCAGGCTTAATTGTTCATTACGTTCAGTTTGGTTATTTTGCTTATCTTTTCTTTAATTAGTTTCTATTCATAAATCGTTCGTGTTAAATTAAATTATGTATCTTTTAATCACGTACAAATTTAATTGTTACTCATTTTATGGATAAACATAGTTATAATTCATAATTTAATGTAGAGTGATGAATGTTATTACCTTTTTTCCCAACGAAATTCAAATGATTGATTGTTTTGTTATAAGTCAATTCCAGTGTAAAAAAAACTCATTGGTGTGAATTTGTTACTACACTAACACACCTTTGACAACAGCTAAATTTTCAGTTATTCGACAATCATCATCATTACCTTTGAGTCAAAAATGTATGGTGTACAAGTTAGAACATAATAAAGAGAACTTTTCCTTATTGTCACTTTGATTTTACAAAACAAATATGCGTTCAAGCATCTTTTATTTGTCATTTTCCTACTTTATGGGACATACACATTTATGATTCGTTTATTGTGGTAAACTTCAACTTATTATTGTTTTTTCTTCTTTTCGATAAGTAAGTTTCTCATTCATTTTTTCCTTTACGAGGAAAGTTCTTAAGCTACACAAATTGTAACATTCATGTGATAGCATTTAATTTGCTATATAATTTCTATATATAGATCGGTTATCTGTTAACTTTCTTTTAACCTTATCTTTGGTTTGCTGCCGAAATTATGTGAATGATTGTTGTATTAGATTAGAATTAATCATTTTGTTTAGTATCTAAAAGAAAGAAAACACTATCGATTAAGTATAGAAAATTTCCCGATATTTCCTTATATGTGTAGCAATGGGTATGATCTGACTGACATTTCTATATATATGTGTAGCAAGAATAGATATGATCCGCCAACATTTCTTATATGTTGCCATTAGAATGAGTTAAAAATCAAAATTGGCGACATTTGATAAATGTCACTAATTAAATAAATGGCACTAATTATTTGCTGACATTATGTAAATTTCGGGAAATCTTCAACAGTAAAATTTATGATATTTGATTTAAGTATCAAATAAATGTCAGCAATACATTTATCTAACTTAAAACTGCATTTAAAAATATTTTCATATCCTAACTTTCTTGTACATCCTTTTGAGATGTGGTGGTATCGCTGCACCGTTGAATTATAAAAACTCGTGCATATAATAACTAATTAATATAGTCCGAACACACAGGTAGTGAGGGCACACAAGCCTGAATGAATTATCAAAGAAGCAAAATTCTAATCAATCTACACATTCACTATATATAAAACTCAGCAAACTTGTGTCTGCGGTTTCAACTTTAAGAGATAATGTCTCTGCATAGAAAATTTTCAATTCTTAGTGTTGCGGTTGGTATTATCTTTGATAGCCTCTTTGGATTCTTCGGCCTTGCCCATCACTGTTTCTTTCATCTTCTGTGTGGTGTCCTTAACAGATCCCCACGCCTCTTGGGCTGTTTCTTTTGCTTTTCCAGCCATGTCTTGTGCTGCATCCGCCACCTTATCTCCCATTACCTTTGACTTCCGCATAGCCTTTCATATCAAATGTTTAGCAGAATAATAAAGGATGATAGAGACATTATTATTAGTAATTAATTACCTCATCAGCAGCATTGGCAGTCTCGTTTTTGGCTTCTTGGCCGGCCCTTTTTGCCGCATCCGCGCCTTGTTTCGCTGCATCAGCTCCTTTTCCAGCTGCATTACGAGCCTCTTCTTTAATTGCCATCGCTAGGTGGCGTTTACCTACCTGTTATCCACAGATCAATCCAATTACAAATTGATCTATAAAAATTTATTTATACAATAAGTGTATATAACTTAAATTAGTATATAAACATTAACTGATCACCTGGAAAGGTCTGGTTGGTGCACCAAGAAAAACTCTAGAGCTCAAAGGGGTATGACCAATAATAGCTCTGGCATTTTGGAGCTTTGTAAGAGTAGGTGTTAGAGCCATGCTTGCCATTTCTTTCTAATTTGTGTTTTTTTTTTCAAATTTGGTTTCGATATTATTTTTATTCTACAGTACAGTTGGTAGTTGTATATATAGGGGAGGATCGGGATCAAGGATAACACGCACAAATACAGAAATAGTGGAGAAGAGTGCTGACCCATTATTTGAGGTTAGTTTCCTGTCTATTTCCCGAATTTTAAGTTGCCAATCAATAGAAATTAATTACAAAGAGCATTGTACGGATCGCTTCCTTCCTCTCACTGCCACTAATCCTTTTTGCTGTCTGCAAAAAGAAACAAAGGGATAATCAATAATGAACGTAAATTTACAAATTAATTTATATATTTTGCTGATCAGTTGGGCGGTTCATCACTTTTTTTAATTTTTTTATTTTTTTCTTGCAATCCATCATCACTTATTTAGAAGTGTAATTATCTTGCGGGAATTAAACTAAACATTTTTGAACCATTTAATTAGAGTAGAAATGATGCTTATATCATTTTTAAAAATGATGCTTATATCTTGTTTACCCTTAAAATTGGATAACAATTAAATTTATAATGTGGTTTTAAGAATACATGATTTCACCTGATAACAATTGATATATGCAAAGAGTAATAATAGAAATTAACAATAATATAAAGCAAACCAGTGTTTGAACATAATTTAGCCCTCGAGCTTGAATACCCTCGAACTAGTTTAGGCAAAAACAATTAAAATGTAACAAGCCGATGAACAAGAATATGAACTATAGAAAAGGCATTATATTGCTTTGATATCTCAGAGTGTAGGTCTTTACAAAATGATTAGAACAATCTTTATATAGTAAATGAATTCTATCTATGGTAAAATTCTAATTACGGAAGTAAATCCCATGATTAGCCAAAACAATCGCCCTTGATTTGATCTGCTCCAGGATTTCCGCCGTGATCTTCGACTGGTCACGGATATCTCACTTTTCCGTTATTGCGCTTTGCTCGAAGTCTGCCATATTAGGTCTCGATTGTTGCTGGCCTCGATCTCGAAAGGCACCTCGATCCTCGAACTCGATACCTTGTCTTTGTGCTCTGGTCTGATCCACTACGAGGCTGGCCTTCGATCAAATAGTAAAATCGAATAGGCCCGGTTTTAATCGTATACAGATAGTCCCCTCGTTTCTTGGAGTGTAATGAGAAGAAACAAACTGAGCTTTCGATTTTATACCTTGACATATCATGACGTCATCCTCCTAACGTAAGCGACAGAAGTAACTGAAACGTCCTGTCGGTTCATATACCGAGGCATTAAATGCCTGTCAGTTGCTGTCGGCCATTATTGGTTCTGAACCGTCATCTTCATCCTATAAATGTGCTTTCCTTCTCTTTGCCCAAACTTTACTCTTGATCTCTGCTCTAATCTTCGAAGCTCTTTACATCTTCTAAGCTTTTCCGTTCTGCACAATCTCTAGGCTTCGTTATCAACCTTCCCTCAAAACACCAAGCGTTATCTTCTTCTTCCTTCTTCAAACTTACACAAAAATGGCGAAAACGTCAAAAACTATTCCTCAAAAGGAAAAATTTTCTTCATCGCGGTCGGCCAGCGATAAAATGCCGGTGGAGCCGCGCCCTAAGGAGTGCATTCCCGAGAAGGGGTGTGTCCTTGATTCCGACTTCAAAGTCGAGAAGACTTCGTCGGTCCCTGGTCGGTGCGAGCCTATGTCGAGATATATATGCTCGATAATTGAGAGTGACCTCGAGCAGGTAAAGAAAGACTGTCATTGGGAAGATAAAGAGGTGGTGATTCCGGCTCCCGAAGAAGACATCACTACCCATGTGAAAGGGTTTCTAAGTGTTTACAATTACCCTTTCACGCTGGGCCCTATCGATCCCGTTATTATCGATTTTTGCCGTCAATATAAAATAACCCTCGATCAGATCCATCTTTCTTTTTGGCGAATTGTCATTCTGCTCCGATTCTTTGCGAACAAAACTGAAAGGATGCCTTTCACCCTCGACCACCTCATCAAGTTGTACAACCCCCGTCTCTATTGAGGTGGTTTAATAAGGCTTCAGCATCGGGCAACCACGGTTCTATTCTCAAGCATACACGAGGACAAGGATTGAGGATAGATGGGTCTGTTCGTTCGAGTGAAGACTTTCGACCTAATCCCGACCGAGAAGATGCCATTTCTCGAGGAATTGAATATGAAGCGTAAGTATAATCCCACATACAACTTCCATTTATTATTTTATTTCCTTTGTTCTTTCTCATCGACATCCCTTCCTATGATGTAGTGGTCTCTTAGATGCCCGGTGCAATTCCTAACCTCGAGAGCTGGGTTCGAAAATTAGCTTCGAGCTCCTCGTATGCTAAGCGCTAATTGCGTGATTTAGCAAGGGGCCGATGGGAAGCCAAAAATCATGGTAAGCCCCTTTTCACGTATAAGGTAACCTTTTCTGAAATGTTTCTTTTCATACTCACTTGATTTCCTTTCATACAGGCCTCGAAGAAAATGCAGTCACGAGGCCCCCATCCGGGGAGGAAGAGGTTTCGCTCCCGGCCTCGAAACCGACGAAGGATAAAAAGAGAAAAGGGTCTCGACCTTCGAGAATCCAAAGCCCAAGAAGAGTAAGGCTCGTAAGTCGAAGAAACACACTGCCGTCTTGCCTGCGGAAGTAGTTCAGCGACTAAGAGAGGAAAAAGAGGAAAATGAAGATGATGGCTCCGAGCTGGTTGCTCAAGTGAAGAAAAACACTGAGGCCCCAAAGGCCGCTGACCCGGTGAGGGTTGAAGAGATTCAGCCTTGAACCGAGGAGATCTTGGAAGAGGGACCGAGCAAGTCCATGAGTCGTCGGAGGCTGAAGATGCCTCCCGCCGAAATGAGCAATCGGTAGGTGTGACTAAAGGGGCTGACTCCGAGGCCATTTGAAATGAACAGAACGCCCCAAATGACTTGCTTGAGGAAATAGAAATTGGCGATTCGCCGACTCTCCCCCTACATTTTCTGAGGGGCAAATTCAGGAAGCCCAGGCTATGGGGACCCCCGATGTAGAAAGATCCCACGGAGGGGAGGACCTTTTTTGTGGTTGCTTTACGGGAGTCGAAGATACTACCGACCTGAGTGATGCATCGAGTCTCTTTGACGAGGCTCAATGACTCCTGAGTCGGGTAAGTCTCAACTCTCCTCATCAATATCTCACTTGCATTTATTTCTTCATGTCTAATTTTCTTTCTTCTTTTTGCATAGGCCTTGACACTCCATAGGGATGCGTTTTCTAAATCCCGAGCAGAACTGAGCCGATGCAAAGCCGATCTTCAAAGGCTTATGGAGGAGAGAAAGGCCCTCAAACTTCTTAGTGGGCAAAAAGAAGAGGAGATCAAGGACCTCCGAGCCGAATTGGATACAACTCATAAAGAGCAGACCGACCTGATTGAGCAGGTAATGAAACTGTTTAGAAGCTCAATGTATCAATTCGGGGATGATGACTAATACTTCGATTCTACATGTTCACCACAAGGCCGAAAAGATCGAACAGCTCTGTGAGGAGGCCAACATGATGAGGGCAGAGACTTTGGGGTGGAAACAAAACATAGACCGCCTTGCCTCGGAGAAAGATGCTGCTCGAGCCCAACTATCATCGTCCGAACGTCAACTCCAAAATAGGAAAGCGGAAAGCTCAACCCAAGCCAAGAAAATTGAGGAGCTCGAGGCTCGGTTGGCCGCCGAACTTGCAAAGGTTACATCTGAGGCAGAAAATGTAAAGGCTGATGTGAAGGCGATCGTGACCGTCTACCGAGCTGATACTGAAGCTGCTCAAGCTCGAGCAAAGGAAGTTGCTGATACCGCTCAAACTCGAGCATACTGGGCTGCCGAGCATGCCAAGTACCAGTCTCAAAGAGAGACTCTTGAGGAGATTCATGCTCATGGCTTTACTTTGCTGTCAAGATAGAGAATGCGAAAGAACTCGAGGCCGAAGCCAAAGCATTGTTCTCTTCCAATGACGATGATTCCGGGAGCACGAGTGGATCCGAGAGCGGAGGGGATTCCGATGGCGAAGGTGGAGCTCCCAAGGAAAATTAGGCACTTAGAATTTTTTCTTTTTTGAATTTTTTGTGTAGGATCCTGATCGGTCCTTGTAAATATTTTCATATGTATAAAAGATCTCTTTTCTTTCTGACTTGTCTTTATTTCAATTTCTTCATCATGAAAATTCTGTTTTGTCTATGCCTTGTGAAAAATTTGTTCATGAGTACAAGGCTTAGGCAATTTGATCGAAGTCGGACTAATATAGTCTTTGTAATCGAGTGAGTACTTGCTCGGACTCGAAGTAGGGTGGCCCTTAGGTTTTAGTTGAGTGAGGATGACTTCTCGAACTCAAAAAATGGCCTTTAGGCTCTTGAATTAGGCCGATATGGCTTCAAAAGAATGGCTCTTTTCCCTTTTCGACTTAAGAAAGTTCAATCATATAAAAATTTGTTATGCCTTAGCATGAAATGAGGTTGCTTCGAGAGTTCGAACAATCTAGTACCCTTTTAGGGTTTTCGAGGGTTGATATTGTCGAAACCCTTTATAATTTTATCGAGGGTAGCCTTTTTAACCGGTTTTGTGAAGATATTAGAAGGCCTATTTTCATTACGGAATTCGAACGTCTCCGAACCGTGTTAGTTTGGCCGTAGCCTTTAGTTTAGGATTTGCCTATTGGGCTTGTTTCTCCATTACATTCCGAACTTGTTCGAAATGTCAGTCCCTGAGTGGGTATAATATCGAGGGTTGCCTTTTTAAGGTCTTACGATCTCGAGATCTTAGTAATTCGATCATGTCATTTTTTGGAAGGCAGTCCCTGAGTATGGGGTAAGTTGTTCGAACTTCAGTTATGATCGTCCCTTAAGCCTATTTCCACGATAGATAAAAAATATGAAATTGTAAAGTGAAAATTTCTCTTAGGCATGAAATATTTGGTAAGGAAAAATACTTATTTCAATAGATTATACATGCGTACATGTATGCTTTAAGGGCTCAAGTAATCTACATGGGCACTGTTCATTTGACCATTTAGCATTTACAAAATTTTACCTATCGAAACCCAGT